CCTTCCCTCTAGACTCTCCAAAATTTTTATCCGCATGAAAACAAACACTCAACATATTCAAACTTTTACTCTTCCGTACTGGTCCACGTGTGACAGCTGAATCTATTTTGCTGGTCAGAACAAAAGGTCAGAACAAAAGGTCTAATCTGGACCAATCAGATAGCCATATATGTCGCGTTTTTAGCAATTTTTTAGACAGACGCGCGCTCTTTTTGTAAACAAACCTTTTTTTTTGTAATTTTACGCTATTTTTCTCGTAAAAATCTATTATATAAAGCGAATAGATCTATTTGTTAAATAAAGTTCTAGATTGAAGTTATGATGRTCGTTATAGTAATCTGATAATGGTAAAAATGATCTGAAGATGATGATGAGGACTATGATGATGAAAGATGATGATGAATATACCGATAATGATGATGATCTCAGTGATGATGATTATACCGATGATGATGATGATCTGATGATGATTATACCGATGATGATCTGATGATGATTATACTGATGATGATGATGATCATCTGATGATGATCTATAATTATAATAAACATACTGGGAATAACGAGATCTGGTGTTTTTTGTAATGTTTATAGTMACTTCTACATCATTACATACATATACAGTCAAATTATTAGTTTTCTCTAAGATATCACAGTCACTAAACGATGAAATACTAATGGTGAACATTGTGAACATAAACGTCAATGCATGCTGAAGTTAATAATTACATAAGTTAGTAAAATAATAGCAGTTATTATCATCAAGAACAAAAAGGAATTTTCAGTAAAAAAACATCGTAATAAGAACCAATAAGATAATCCATATATTTTCGAAACGATTAGAAAACATTACAGCACATTGTGARTCACATACCGGTGTGTTTACGCCTTCGCTTACGTATACAGTAGTTCTTTTTCTTTGTTTATCAGCAAAGCCGTGTGGAAATTAAGCAGTTGAGTCCTTTGTAAGGTCAAAGTCTGGATAAGATTTATAAGTTGTTTCGCTATTTGTATAGATAGATAGATTTTTCTCGATAAATGRTTCACGATAATTGGTTCTCGATAAATTGTTCACGATAAATTGGTCACTCTTCAATGTTCGCTCGTAAGGTGTTCTCTTATCATGTTCGCGGTCCAACCCGTTCCGAAAACGCTCGACATCTTTTAGTGTGGGTCTACCGCGAACGATGTGGGCGTTTGGTAGTGGTTGGAGCGCACAGAAGACAGCAAAGTTAGAGGCATTACTTGCAAATTTCAGTACTCATTGGTTCTGCAAACGCACGTGCACACAGTGCCATACGTCAGACCTAGACCCTAAGCACATGCTCAGTTGATATAAGTGAAGTACGCATGCGTGTTTGACGACCCAGGCGTCCCTAACTAGCRTTAAGTGCGCATGCCTGCTTTTTGTAGACGAACATGGAAAATACGACGAATAACAACGGGCGATTTATAACTCGTGCCTTCCTTCGGAAAGAAGCCCGAGTAATAATAGATTAACGAAAAGCGAGCGAGGCATAACTATCTTTTTTCCCCTTATTTCTAAAAGGATCTAAAATTATGATCTCATTACATTGGCGATCAGCTTATTGGGTCAAAATTGAAAGGAATCTAAAACCATTTCAAGTCTTAAACAAAAGCATAAATATRAGTCTTTCCAAATTACATTAGCTTAATGTTTGATATACGGTAGTATATATTCTAGGCGCAGACGTCAATGGTTATATATTTTTTAGCCAAACAATCCAAACACATAAACATCAGCACAACTTGTTCCACCATTATCACTCTCGGAATCGTTTCTAAGGTCTTCTGTGTACCAGATGCGATATTCCTGACCAGTGGTTATCACCATGGGACTAGTGAAGTTTTCAAAAATGAGCTCATGAGAACTGGAGGTGAAGCCAGGAATACTGTAGCGTGAATATTGAGGAGCGCCATCTTGCGGCAGGATTCTTTGATTTGTGCTGTCGGTGATGATGGTCCAAAGTTTGTCACTATTCTTTCGACAACCCCAGTTACTCTTTCTTTCATCCTTCTCCTTATGACACGTCACATATCCAGAGAGATGGATCAGCTTGAGTTTATGGACTGCGGTTCCATTTATTTTCATGTAAAAACTTCCATAAGAATCGTTGCGAGCTCCAAAGCACACAGGACTGGCGTTGATCTTCAGCCATTCGTCTAAGAATATCAGAATAAGAAGCGGTTTCAGTTTTTGTGTGAAGAAATTTAAAAAAATCATGGACATTTGCGACATCTTAATTAGAAACAAATTTTTGGGCACTCTGCAGAAATGCTATCCTGCGTACAAGGTGACGACACTCGGCACATTTTCAAAATGAAAAGGTACCGAATTCGTGCAGAGGTTGTTTTGGTAAGGGACGGAGYATTTAATTCTTAATCTTGACGGGCACGAATTTTTGAAGAGATCGAATTTTCCCCCAACTACACAAGTTAAGAGATATTTTCTTAACAGATCATGTCCTTGCTCTATATCTTTTTATGCGCATCTTCACCTATTAAATATTCAAACTGCAAGTAGTTCGACTCAAATTGTGTTCCTATATTTGTTAACACCATGTTTTGAGGAAAGAACATTGGTTCTTTATGCCTCAGTGTCAAACGTTACGTTTTGAGGCAACTGTCATGCAATGTTCACTATGCTAAAAATACTGTTATCCAATACTACATTTACACGCACCACTATAGATAATAATATTAATATAATAATATGAATCACAGTTAATGATTTGACTAACATGTTTTGGGCTGTGTCACATGTACATCACACATGTGACCCGTGAATTCCTGCTGGCAGAGACACCGGAAGTCATCGTAGCCTTCGTTTTGGCAAGTACCTCCATTCAAACATCTCGTTGTCTCGCACT